CCCCAAAACCCCAAAACCCCAAAACCCCAAAACCCCACAAGAAAGTTTTTTATTAAATTAGTAAATATAAAAATAGAAAATAGTATTAATAATGGGAGAAATGGTACGTAACAAAATTTTTAGTAAAATTTAACTCTTTTATAGATTGATCCTTTGAAGTTCAGAGCTTTTGGAGTAAAGAGACCACTTGATGAGAAATAAGAAAAAATAAACAATTTATTAGAACAGAGTAAACGCTATTATCCTACTGATCAAAAGGGAAATGTTGATGAGTGGGGAGCAGTTATCAAAAGATAAACCGAAGCTTTTGAACTATAAAGATAGCAGATAGAATAGTAGAGAGTAGCTCAGAAATAAAATTATGGGTATTAAATCATCAAAATATCATCATATATTTAGGCTTATACTTGATAAAGAGTTGCAAAATAATGAAGAAAGGAAAAAAATGGTTAGTTATGAGAAAATAGAAGAAAAAGAACAGCTTTTAAGGAATCAGGAAGAGAGACTGAGATAAGAGGAACTCTAAAGAGAAATGGAGAGATAGAGAAGGATGCAAGTTGGAGATGCCTAGAAGCTAGCCATTGCCTAAAGATAAAAAGAATAATAAAGGATAAAGAATCAAGAAATCTTATTTGAATAAGAACGAATCTAAAACTTAATGCTGGTTTAGGATAGAGAGTCATAATTAGAAGCAGAAAAGAAACGCATGATAAGGGAATCGATGTCTCAAAATATCGATCAATCTAGGAGAGTCAAACTTCTAAATGAGGAAAACTAAAAATAGATAACTTAGATGTAAGATGTTTCCCAAGGAATGGCGTCGCTGCAAATTAATGATAACTACAAAAATCAAGTTTAAGAGAGAATGAGGTTATTTGAAGAGAATCAGAGAAGAATAGCACAAACTTACAATAAAATGGTTGCAAATAGATAGTCAGAAAAATAATCAAATGAAATTATAAGATAGATGAAGGATTAAGAGGAGTTAGAGAGAAAGGCTTAAATGGTAGAAAGTCAGTAGCAGATGAACAAAATGGCTGCTAAAAACTTTAATAGCTAATAATTGTAAATGCAGCTCAATTAAAAGAGCAGACTAAATGGTTTATCTGATAAGGAATATCAAGCCTTGGAAATTTAGAAAAAGATGGACTTAGCTAAAAAGGCTGAGGAAGATGAAATTAATAAGCGTAAATTGTAGCAATTAGAGTATAAGCAGATGCTTGACTAACAGAATCAGCTCAGAAGTAAGATGAGATAACACGGAAATATGTCAGGAGTGGAAAAGTAAATGAATAAGGAGGACTTGATTGCTTGGAAGAATTATGATAATAATTAGTATTCGCTTATTCCAGGTATATCAGTAAACAAAAAGGTCATGGAGAGAGAACCGAAAGGTCCAGGTATCAATGGCAGTTAATCACTAGGAAACCTCAGCAAATCAATAGACAATGAAAGGTTTTAGCAAAGATAAGAAATGATGAAATAATATGGCTATACTAGAGATATCAAGGACGTTTACGGTATAATGTCACAGCCTAATCTTCAAGATTCTATTGTTGACAACAGCACATAAATGACACTCAACCAAAATGGAGATACTCTAAATAGTATTTCAAAATTAGACCAATATCAATCTATATCCTTACTTCAAAGTAATAATGATGCCTATAGAGAATCAAGACAGCAAAGCAGATTCTAACCCTTAAACAAATCAGTCGATATTTCAGGAAGATAGAATTTAAACTATAGCTTAGAATAGATTAATTTAAGCAATAATAATAATGATAACTTCTAAGGAGTACAGCTCTAGCCTAAGAATTAAGATTATGATTATAATGATGCATACTTGTCCAAGTCACCAATCATTGGAAACATGAAAGCTAAAGCATCTTATTCAAATAACATATTTCCACAGACCGATTAGATCGACTAATAATACATGGAAAGACAAAGAAAAGGGAATAGTAATGGAAAATTATATAATGATAACAACATGACTGCTGCTGGTGTGAGAATTTCTTAGAATGGCTCAATGATAAACCCTGGATCCTAATCATCAGGAAGATAAGCAAGAGATCGCTCGTTGATTGCAGCAGGAAATAGTATATTCTAATGAGATAGGAGTGAGTTAAGTATTGGCAGGGAGGAGGAACTTAATAATTTACTTTATCAAATCTTAATAATCAATGATAACATTTCAAATTTCATTGATATAACTTGCGGGGTTTTGGGGTTTTGGGGTTTTGGGGTTTTGGGG